ATCATTCCTAAAACTCTGGACAGGAGGGTTTTTATCAAGTCTTGTACAGTACCTATGAACTGGTTCAAGTAGGTAGCTGTGTCAGGATGCAAAGGCTGCAAAGGAATGGGTTAAGTTTTATTCCATGCTGAAAAGAAAAAGAGACCGAAACATTTTTGAATGACAGCAGAAGAAGGCTCCGCAGCCAAAACGTTATGTCTCTTTTCTTTTATGCATGGAATAAACCTTTACCTGTTTCTTTGTACCTATGAACTAGGCCTGTATTTTCAAATACTGTAGCACTTTAAAAATTCAAAAGCAATCAAGACCTTCAAATTATTTAGACAGTCTAAAAAATCTAGTTGTATTGTGTCAAGGCATTGGTGCTAAAAGAAAGGATACAAACTCTGAGTTAGTTTTACAATACATTATTTATAGAGTTTGGTAGAATGCAGTGCTATAACAAATTCCAATACCTCTTACACACATGTTATGTCATTTGCACATCACATATCCCTGTAAAGCATTATGTGTATGATTATAACATCTTGTGTAGCAGTTATATTGGGGTTATGGAGCCATTATGTAAGGATTACTGATTTTTCTTGTGTACTCTTCACAACTGCTGACGAGGCACAGGCATAATTACATAGATACAGTTATTGTCTGGTGTTTCCTGCTTTGTTGCTTATTCTTACATGGGCAGCATTTACAAATCTCTAAACACACCTACATGTGATGCACATAAGCAGTATCCTGTTAGCTGTGTGTAATAATTCATGACAAAAAGCTGCTACATTTATTTTTCGGAATGTCCAGTGAAACACAAACCACAGGATAAAAGTGGAAACTATGTGGAAGAGGAGGTATTCTTTACCCACAGGGTTGTGGGAGTATGGAACAAACTGTCCAGGTCTGTTGTTAAAGCTGATACATTTTTTTTTTCATGCAACATTTTTAATGACATGTTTGAATCAATTACTGTAGCTATGAACTGCCAAATAGGCTAGTTGGACTGAATGGACTGCTCTTGTTTGTAACTGTCCTTATGTTATTATTTCTTTCTGTTCTCAAGCTCAGGAACCACTCTGTATGGAATTGTTACAGGTTTTTTTTTTATTAATATTAGAAGAGACCTAGTATGTTGTCTCATGTGCGAATCAATCTTAATATATAATATTTATTTTATCATGGATCAAAGATGCAGTATAAAAGCAAACAAAAAATCTAACACCTAAAATAATGTAGACAAATTGGCCTGTATATTTGTCACTAAATAAAATGACAGTTTAAAGCAACAATATTTGCCAGAGAACAGGATAATAGATATGGTTTTTTTGGATGTATAGATCTGCTAATTGTGTGCTGGTATTATGATTGTGTGCAT